GGGCTTCGCATGTCTGTATATATAGAATTGACCACAAAGCAAGTCATCTATACAACAAAGAGGGGATGGGGTGGGGAGCATTTCGGTTGGCTGGTTAAGGAACCAACACTCTCTGCGCAGAGCAGACTCTGGCTCCAGGTAGAATGGAGCTAAGGCAGCGATTCCTTTTGGGGGAACAAACGACCCTTCCACAGGAGTCACCCAACACCATCGAAAACACAGACATTTACATTACGTGCCATAACAGCAGCAAAGTTAGTTTTGAAGTAGCAACGAAAATAATTGTATGGTTTGGGGGTCACAACGTGAGGAACTGTATTAAAGGGAAGGTTGGAAAGCACTGAGCTAGGGGGACCCCGGAAGTTGGCTGGAGCAGGCAGGCATTACAGTGCAATACGGAACTCTTTGTGTCTGGACCGTGAGGCGCTCCTGGAGAGAGCCCGGCTTTGGTTTCAGTCTAAAAGTCCGCTTGCAGACGGGGATGGGAACACGAGATTGAGCCCAACCTCGACCCTTCTCCTTTCCTGGCCCCGGCCCTGCTTCAAAACCCAGACTATGACTGGGGCCGCGCCTGCTCGCTCCAGGCCGAGGCATGACAGAGCAATTCGAGTGTCCCACGGGCGGCCCTGGTTCACTCACCTACTTGGTAGAGTCGACCCTCGGGAGAGAAAATAGTAATGTGGCGGTCAAAACCGGCGCTGGAGCCACGGGACATGGCGTTCCCACTATTTCAAGCACAGACTGCACCCCGTAGCACACACACCAGGCACACAAGCCCCTCCCGGAAGTTACGGCTACTGCTTCCGGGGCACCGGCCGAGCGGCTTCCGCTCCGGTTTGCCTCTCAGGGTACCGGCGCTGATTCCGGGTGGGAGGGGGCTGGGTGGTGGGGAGGGGGTGGGGTGTCTCCAGAGCCCCGCCCCTAAGTGGGCGGGGCCGCGGGCACAGAGACGGCTCTGGCGTGCTTCTGGGCGAGCGGCCCTGGGTCGCGGCCGTTAGGGCTTTCTGGAGAGTAAATTGGCCCCAAGAGGAAGTTTTCAAGGGGCCCGCGGTACGGATTTGCCTATCTGTGACCTCAGGAGACCGTGTGATCACCGCGACCGTCGTTAGTTTGGGCGCCTGTCCTTGCTGTCCTGTCTTACTGGAGTTCTGGCTTTGTTTTCCCTAACCTTCCTTTTACCCGCCACTTCTGTTGTAAGATCTGGGGAGAAAGGATTGCAGCTGTAGGATCTGAAAGCCACTGGGAAAAACAAGTTTTCGTCTACCCTGGCAGGACCTTCCTTTGGACAGCGGCCCAGTTTTTTTTTGTTTTGTTTTTTGTCTTAAAAGTGGAATTGAGGTTGAAATACAAATAATGGGAACCAGCCGGGCGGTGGTGGCGCACGCCTGTAATCCCAGCACTCGGGAGGCAGAGCCAGGTGGATCTCTGTGAGTTCGAGGCCAGCCTGGGCTACCAAGTGAGTTCCAGGAAAGGCGCAAAGCTACACAGAGAAACCCTGTCTCGAAAAACCAAAAAAAAAAAAAAAAAAATGGGAACCTGAGGTTCAGCAGTCTTAATTGACAATGAGCAAGATCCAAAGAGCAGGAGCTTCATAGACCGCTGGCGTTGGATGGATACAGAAAAGTAATTCCAAGTAGGTGAAGTAGCTCCTGGAAAATTGGTGGCCTTTCAAGCTGAAAAATTCTGCACAGTGTGCACCCCAAGGCACAACTCCTCCTTTAGCGAATATAAAATTTGAAGCATAATATTAAGCTATTTCTTCCTCTAGATAAAAAAGATTTATTCACACCAATATTTGTGACAATTTACTGCTGTGATACTGAACTATTCAGATCTCTGGCATACTCTCCAAAAACACTTATTTTAAAGTAAAACACTTGAAGAGATTCTTCATAAGGAAGTTTTAATTTCTCGAGTTCATTTTTTTTTCTTCTTTTAGAAAATGATGTATTGGGACTGGAGTGATATAGCTCAGCAGTTAAGAGCACTAACTGTTCTTCCAGAGCACCTGGGTTCAATCCCCAGCACCCACATGGCAGCTCACCACTGTAAACTCCAGTTCCAGGGGATCTGACACCCTCACACAGACATACAGGCAGGCAAAATACTAATACACATAAAATAAGAATAAATAAATCAGGAAGTGAAGTATTAGAAAAAGAAAAGTACAAGCCAGGTGTGGTGGCGCACGCCTTTAATCTCATCACTTGGAAGTCAGAGGCAGGTGGCTCCCTGGATCCAAGGCCAGCCTGGTCTACAGAATGAGTTCCAGGACAGCCAGGGCTACACAGAAAAAGAGAGAAAGAAAAGAACGCCCAGAACTGAAACACGGTTAAGAAAGTAGTCCATGTAAACAGCTCTCTGGAACACTCGGTACTTTCCAGCTCCAATTCCCAGTGTGCTGATAAGAGCTTGTCCTTTGTCTACAGCTCAGGTCCCTACGCAGACTCAACTCCTGACCTTTTGAGTACTTTCCTCAGTCTCTCAGGCAGGTGTACTATAACTCCTACAGTTTGCCTTACCAGTCGTGGATAAGGAGTTCTCTGTAAGACTGCTAGGGGAATGGTGCACTCCTTTAGTTCCTTAGTATCTAGAAGTCTCTTAAATTTAGGTCTCACCCTGGACTCTTCTTTGAAGCTTAATTTCCCTAGTTGCCTCTGTCATAGTAAACAGACAGCATTTCAAAACCCAAAATAGGTAAAGACAGAATTCTTCATCTCTTTCCTTCCAAGCCAACACCTGCTTTCTGTATTCAGAGTCCATACCTTGCAGCAGTCAATTCCTCAGCATTTCCTCCTGCTGCTCCTGATGTCTTGGCTGGTTGCGTATAATTCATAGTTTTATTCACTTTATGGTGGCACCGAGACCTTTTAGGATGTGCTCTAATGCAGGCACGGGATTCTCCATGTATAAAACCCAGATATTTTACCAGCACTTGAGCAATGGCACCAAGACATGGACAGCCAGGTGGATGTTGCAGACCACTACCATCCCTCATCTTCACATGACCAACAGCAACAACTAGACATAACACCTTCTTCATCTTGGTGTGGATTTCATCACCATGGCCCCATATTTTCATTGTGCACCAGCAGGGACGGGAACTTGCCAGCCTTAATTAGGCCTGAGCCCAGGATTTTGGGATCTGCTGGATCAGAGACTTGGGGGACAAAAAGGCATCACCCTTTTTGGCCAAGTTCTTTTCCTATTTTTTTTTTAAAGAATGTAATTTTTTAAAGTTATTTGTTTTTATTTTATGTGTATCAGTGTTTGCCTGCATATCTATGTGAGGGTGTCAGATCTTGGAGTTACAAACAGTTGTTAGTTGCCATGTGGGTGCTGGGAATTGAACTCAGGTCCTCTGGGAGAGTAGTCACCGCTCTTAGCCACTGAACTATCTCCAGCCCCTTTTCCTGTTTCTTACTCTTGCTAAGCTTCTTCAGCACCTCACTGTCGGTGTGGGAGACAGCCACAGCCTTGGCCTCATCACAATGCTGCCAGTCCCCCGGGATGCACACAGAGAACTTGGGACAGGGAGTGGACTTAGGCTGATGGTGCCTGAGAAGCATTTGCCCTCCTGACATTCTTTAGGCTCATTTGCAGCGCTACTGTTTCCAGAAACTTGTGGCACTTTTGCTGGTTCCTGTGCAGGACTTCCCACACTGCTTGATTCAAAGTGTCTCCAGAGACTCTGTTTTTCCATGGCTGCTCACACTGGGAAAGCCAGAAAAACAAAATGAAACAAAACAAAAAACTTTATTTACTTCTTATGTTCTTTTTATCCTTACTCTTAAGTGTCAAGAAGACAAAAATCCATAGCCTTGTTACTGATACAGATTAACTCGAACAATGTCAAGCATATATAAAGCACTCAATATTTGCTGAATGAAATGGATTAATCCTTTTATTTTTGGTTGTGAGCCTAGCCTTTAACAGCTGAACCAGCTCTCCAGCCCAAATGGATTAATCCTTTAGAGCATATAAATTAAGAACGTATCCCTTGGGGCTGAAAGGTAGCTCAGTGATTAAGGGCAGTTGTTCTTCCAGAGAACCTGGTAGTTCACTACCGAGCACATGTTGGGCAGCTCACAACCAACTGTAGCTTCGGTTACTGGGTATCGGCCTCCAAGGATACTCCAAGGGTGGCATATTCATGTAAATGCAAATGTTTTGGTTTTTGTTTTTCAAGATAGGGTTTCTCTGTCTAGCCCTTGCTGTTCTGGAACTCACTCTGTAGACCAGGCTGGCCTTGAACTCAGAGATCTGCCTGCCTCTGCCTCCCGAGTGCTGGGATTAAAGGCATGCGCCACCACCGCCCGGCTAACTTTAAAAAAAAAGTGTATCACTTTCTATTTAAATTCCATTTGCAACAGTTCTCAGATATGTGACCTAATACAAGCTGATTCTCTTGCTAACTTGCATAATAAGATCCACTTTATGGGGGTAAAGATTAAACGAGAAGTACTAGGCAAAGTCCCTAGCATATGAGTACTTAGCAAATGAGGACTGTTAGCAATATTGCTGCCCGTTTGTGTTATTGAATGCTGTTGATTATGCCTGTGACATGACTCTCCTCCAGCTTTCTACTCTTTCTCCCACTGTTCAGATTTAGAGCCCTTTGGTCTACCTTGGGACACTAGTTTCTTGTGTCAATTTTTTTTAGAGCAATCTCGTGTTGCTTCTCTACCTAGATTCCTTTGGGTTTCCTACCGTCTGCTGAATGAAGCCTAACGTCCAGGTTAGGGACCAGGGCTGTTCATCAACTGTCCTCTTTTGCTTCATCCCCCACTGCCTGGTTACTCCTCTAGGACCACCCATGCCTAGTCCCTCTTGTTGAAGCCCATCTCTACCAGTTTGTCTCTTTCAACCTTCCTGCCCACTGCATAGAATTCCTATCTTTTATTGGCTTGGATCCTCAAGAAAACATATTTCAAAAAGCACAAAAGAGAGTGTGCTTAGCCATATTCAGCTCACAATAAAGACACGGGTGACTAGAATAATTCATGCTTTGGATGTTTAATGGACTGCCAATAACATTGGTCAAAGGAAAGCAGAGGAACTTTGTCTTGTAAGAAATAGAACCGAGCGGGGGCAGCGGAGGCACACACTCAGGAGGCAGAGCCAGGCGGATCTCTGTGAGTTCAAGGCCAGCCTGGTCGACAGGTCGAGATCCAGGACAGGCACCAAAACTATACAGGGAAACCCTGTCTCGAAACAACAACAACAAAAGAACCGAAGAGCTCCAACATCATCTGGCATCTGCTTGGTGCTGTATCTGTGGTCAGAAGTGCACACGATAGGAACTTCTTGTTTGGGATCACAATCAATTGTGCCACTTGGGCCTAATTAACTCTGTGCCAAGCAGTCATCAGCACAGGTTTTGTGTGCCGCAGTTGTTGAAATCTTGGCTCTTGGACCATCCTCTGAGCCTCTTGATAAGGCCGCCCTAATTTCTCAATGTCAGCCACTGCACAGTTAAACAAGGGATCTAGATGGCATATGGACATTTTGTTATCTATGTGCTGCTCCAGAAAAGCCTGTTCATTTAGTTCTGGTGTTGCTGAAGGTTGGAGCTAGGATCTCACATATGCTGAGGAAGCATTCTACCACTGAACTACAGCTCCAGTCCAAGCAGGCATCTGTGAGTGAAATATTGGCAGCTGTATGGTTTAACTCCAAGAAGTGCATGTCTAGGCTTCACCAGTTTGGTAGAGCAGAGTCTGGGTATCTCTGTATCCTCTACTACTCCTGGAACAGGACTTGGCTCACAATAGTTCAATAAATGACTGTTACACTTCATTGAAAACTGTGGAGACAAAGGTAACAATAGAGAAATGTTTTCATAGTCATCAGTCTTTGGTTCCCGTGTAGATATGACTAGATTTTCATCACCGTGCACGAGTGGGATGTTTTAAATCACACACCCAACAAGGCCATGAGATTTCACAGATTCAAACAAATCTTGATCTCTTAGGGAGTGGCTGCATTTAATGAGGCCGAGAAAGAGGCACATATGATTTGGGATGGCATATTGTAACATTTCCTTAAAGAAATCAGGTTTATTTTCAGTACAGACACTGACAGCTAGAATTAGAACCTCGTTTAGATGAGGCAGGGGCCACATCATGTGTTTTTTTTTTTTTTTTTTGGTTTTTCGAGACAGGGTTTCTCTGTGTAGCTTTGCGCTTTTTCCTGGAACTCACTTGGTAGCCCAGGCTGGCCTCGAACTCACAGAGATCCACCTGGCTCTGCCTCCCAAGTGCTGGGATTAAAGGCGTGCGCCACCACCGCCCGGCCACATCATGTGTTTTACTCAGCAGTTTAGCCATAAAGCAAAGAGGGCCTAGCATGAAGTAAGCATTAGACCACTCATAGAGTGTACATTCTTACTACTTAGGATAACTGTGTTGATTTTCTTTATTTGAAGAAACGTGTGACTAAATGAGAAATCCACATTTGAGATTTTTCCACAGAGTCAAATGTATTCCTGTGGGAAATCTTTCAGAAAAGACGAAACTCTGCCGATTCCACTGCAGAGGGAAATCCCCTGGAAGCGGGCTTCATGACACGCGCCCTGGGCAGCAGCTTACCCACTCAGCCAAGTGGACTTCCCCTGGCTCAGGGAGCTGTCACTGAAGTCTGGGCCGCGACACTGCTGCCGCTTTCGCACAAGCCTGTGGGGCGGGCTTGCTGTCTCTGTGGAAACTTTGCTCTTCCCCTCTGCGCGGCCACCAAGTCAGACTTTTTGAAATGACTTTCTGGGTTTTTGAAAAGTTTTAGAGATGACTTGACATCTCGTGAGTCTTGGAAATTTTTCTGGGGGGCCTCCGTTCGGCCATGCCCCCACTCTCCCTGGGGATGGAAGAAAGTGGAAGGTAGGGGTTACCCACCAGGCAAAAGTACAAAGTGGAGGTGCAGCTTTCCTGGTGACATGCTGAATGGCATGGTAGTCAAGATAAGAATCCTGCCCTTAGTGGGGTCTATAGTACAGACTGATTTGTCTGTTATGCCCGAGACTCTGAGTTCTGTTCCTCCCATTCCCCCCCCCTCACACCCTCACTCCCGTCTACCCCCGTACACAAAAAGTCCATAACTTAAAATACTCTCCCAGTAGTTTCAATGAGGCAGGGAACAGAGAAGAATGAGGTTTGTGGTTCCTTGTGATATTATCAGGTGTTAAAACACAATGCCCTGTGAATTCATCTATATAACAGTTAAGTAGCCTAGGAGAGTTGGGATTCCCCTTAAAGGCAGCTGCAGACAGGACAGAGCCGCCTGACCAGGGAGAGGGATGTGGCATTGTCCCCCTCCCTAGCCAGACTTTCACCATTCAGTCTCCCCAGAAGATTCCCTGAAGACAAGAATCTATCTGAATCCTCCCATTCATTTAAGAACAATCTCTCTGGTTCATCTCTGTCGGGTGGTTCTCCCGGCACCTGGAAGCAGCAGTCCAGTAATCCCCAATACGTATTGTAAAGGAGAAAAGGCAATTTATCTGTGTTCTAGGATCCACGAGCAGGAGACTGACAAATGAGAGGTCAATGTGGGCTGGGATGTGATTCCCGAAACGTTAATTAATTTAATACCTGCACTTTTTGTTTTAACAAAATCATGTGTATCTGTGTTTTGCCTGCATGCATGTCTGTGCTCTAGGTGCACACAGTATCCAAGGAGGCCAGAAGTTGTTGCATCTACGGGGACTGGAGCCACAAGAAGGTAATGAACTGCCATGTGAGTGCTGGGAATCGAACCCAGGACCTCTGGAAGAGCAGCTAGGGTTCTTAACAACTGAGCTATCTCTCCAGCTCCAACTTCATTATATTTTTAATTCATAAAGCCTTCAAACTCCTACCCAACAGGATCCTATTAAGCAGTGTTCCCCAGTTCCCCTGGTCCATGCTATTCAGGGTGGTTCTCTTACTCTCTAGACTAAAGGGGGCACAACACTGTCTACCAACACAGCACACTCGAGTTCTGTCACTTCCCTCTGTACCATCCCCTTCCTTACCAGTCAATATAATTCTGTGCCTAGATTCTCCCAGCATTTACCCAAAATGATAAATGCTGTTCTTTGATTTGAAAGGGAATAAACTAGTATTGGTTCAATCCCAGGGATATTTAACTATAACCATCCACTGTCCCCTCTGCACAGCCAAGACCTTCACTTTGCTACTCACTCTTGGGTTTCAGCTATGACAACTTCACTATAATCATCTTAGACTTTTGATGTTTCTTTGGTTTTTCCAAACTGCCTTCAATGAAGACCCAGTGCTCAGCAGAAGTTTCTGGAAGCCAAGGAAACTGTGAATTCCTTAAGAAGTCTCAATGGTCTGCCCAGATACAGGAAGAGCCCAGCTGGCTTAGCCTGAACCGTTGGTGGTTTGTGACACACAGCTTCCCCTTGGGCATAACACCGGAAGCGTCTCAGGGCTCAGAGAAGAGTGAATGGTCCCGTGAAAAGCAAGCCAGGGAAGACACAAACAAAGTCCTGGACTTTGAGCCCACGCAGGCTCTGTTTGGAGAATCAGGGTTTGAATCTGAGTCTTGCCACAGGCTACCTAGTGGTCACAACAGCGGTTTCTTCTCTCAAAAGGGAACATTCTGTCTCTAAAGGCAAAGTAAAAATAAAATGAGCTACTACAATGAAAACAGAACCAATCTACTAGATTTGAACTCAGCTTCTCTCCGTGGGAAGGTTACCGGTGAACAAGGCTCAGTTTGCTGTATTCCCAGTAAAGAGCCAAGCCAAGAACAGTAACTACCTGAGCGCACTTGGTATTCCGAAGTGAAGTCTTCCTTATTTCGAAAGTGGCCAGTTCTTACCCGCCCTGTCCACACCACTCAGCTGCGCCTGTGAATGGACAGGGGTGTGGGACTGCAAACATCCGCCAGTGGCCGAGACTGTCGAGGCTGTGGTGGGTCCTTGCATCTTGGGGTCTTTTAGATTTTTCCCTAGTTCCTCCTGGACCTTGCTTCCTGACTGAGGGATGTGGGTGGGGGACCAGGAGAGTCCAGAGCAAAGAGGAAATAAAACTCAGCAGCCTTCCCTTCAGCTGAGAGACACTTCCTCTTCTTTGAGGTTTCCGAATTGGCTTCCTCTAATTCCTATTTTCTTACCACAAAAGTGGCATCGCTGATGTTCAAAAGACCATATCCTCTTGGGGAAATTGGAGGGAGAGGGAGAATGCAAATGAATGAGGCTTCTGAACATTAAACAGGTATTTCATTCATTGATTTAGAAATGAGCCCCCACCACCACCACTTGAATTTTTTTTGTTTTGTTTTGGTTTTTTCCAGACAGGTTCTCTAGTCCAGGCTGGCCTAGAACTTGCTATCTAGCCAGTGCTGGCCTGGAATGCTGGCTCATTCCCTCATCTGCCTCCTGAGCGCTGGCTTAGGAGCTGCATCTTGAACATCCGGTCACTGACAGTCTTCTCCTCTAGGTACTCTGCCAGGACTTGAGAGACCCAAACTTCACACCAAGTACGTTTTTGTTCACAGTGGTGAAACGAAACAAAAACAACCAGAGACAGCAGATCTAGACTTTAAAACACCGGAGTGTGAAAGCCTCTGGAACGCTGCCTTCTAAGTACACAGCACGTTACAGTCCAGCTACCCCAGCACCACGCCCCTGTACAGATGTCTACTCAAGAATCCAATGCATTTCAGCTTCGGTGGGTGAAGGGTTGCTAAATGGTATGATTAGGAAAGACAGTAAAGTTATTTTTTATTTGTGAAGACAGGGTCTCATGTAGATTTGCTATGTAGCTGAGGATAGCCATGAACTCTGATTCTCCTGCCTCTACCTAACCACAGTGCTGTGATTAATAGGTATTTGCCAACATGCCAGGCTCTAAGAAGTTACTATGTGTTGGTCAGGGAGGCGTCAGACACCATAGACTAAGTTTCTGGCCAGCCAGCTCACAGAGAAAATACCAAGGAGCGAAGGGGGAATTCGCTCAAAGGAGAAGTGGGCATGGGAGGTTGAAAATCGGGAAGATATTTTCAAACGACTTCTCCAAAGCAGTTCAACAACGTAACTGAAACATGTCTACTGGCAAGAAACAGCTAACCACTCTGGAGACACAGATGAACCACGTAGGGTCAGAAGCTGGGAGTGTGTGGGAGGGTGTTCAGAAGCAGAGGAAGAAAACAGCTTGAAAAGCACACACACACACACACACACACACACACACACACACACACACACACACACACACACACGGCAAGCGACAAGACCCTGGATGCTAACGGGGTTTATGCTCTGGCTGGAAGGCAACAGGGAGACCTTGAAACTTTTTTATTGTTTTGGGTTTTTGTTGTTGTTGTTTTTGAGACAGTGTCACAGATAACCCAAACTGTCCCCAAACTTGCTATGCCGACAAGGATGGCCTTAACCTCCCTAGTGCTGAAATTACAGGCATGCATCACCACACTTGGTTTTTGTTTGCTTGCTTGCTTGCCTGAAGCAAAGTCTCATGTAGTCCACGATGAGGATGACCTTGAACTTACTGCTCCTCCTTCTCCTGAGTGCTAGGATCACAGGTGCATGCTGGGATCGAAGGTGAGTGCTGGGATCACAGGTTTGTGCTAGGATTGATTACAGGTGTGTGCTGGAGTCACAGGTACATGCTAGGATCACAGGTGCATGCTAGGATCACAGGTGCATGCTAGGATCACAGGTACATGCTAGGATCACAGGTGCATGCTAGGATCACAGGTGCGTGCTATCACACCTGGCTCAGTTGATAACGGGGTATGCTTGCTAGGCTGAGCTACAACCACAGCCCAGCTGGTCGGTGTTTTTGAGCAGAGTAGCATGACTGGAATTATGCTTTGGACAGATAAACTATGTAGGTGAAGGCTTATGAGGGCATAAAGTGAAGAAAGCAGAAAAAAAAATCTTCCAGACGTTAGCTTCCCACCCCATTATTAGTCGCAAGCAGGGTTTTTGTAATAGGCTAAACTGGAGACTATCCACATGCTCATCAATACGGAGTAAGTCAGGGAAAGGGCAGAGGGTGTTTCTGGAGCAAGTGTGAGACAGACTGTAACAGGACAGACGGATGTTTGTCCTCCCACTCCTCCCTTCAGTTTTTCTCTTTCTAGTTGATATGTCTAGAAGGTTCCATTACATCTTTGCTCCCCTTGATAGCACACACTCCTACGGTCACTTTAACAAAAGCAATCACAATTCAGAAGTCAGACTATGCAATTCTGTAACAGCAGTTGCGAACAGGGGCTGGGCAGATAGGTGACATGCTTGCCTCAGTAGCATGAGGACCGGAATATTATCTCCAGAACCAACATAAAAAGGCCTGACAAGCACCTGTAATCCCAGCGCTGGGGAGGCAGACACAGGAAGATCCTTGAAGCTCATTGGTCAATCTAGCTGAGCTCCAAGCCAATGCAAGACCCTGTAACGAAGGAAGTTTAGAGTGTTCCCGAGGATGACAACTGAGGTGGTTTTCTCGTGCGAGACACACACACACACACACACACACACACACACACACACACACACACTACCCAAATGTAATTTAAAAATGTCATTAATAAAATTTTGGGGCTCACTGAGTCCTTTCTACTCAAATTATAAACTGCAGTACTGGCATCACCAGGGATGCTCTTCCTGAATCATCTTCCTTTGGCGCCAGGGAGGGACTGAACCCAGCTATGCTCACACGTTAGTACGCAGCTGAACTCCGAGCCAGAACCAGCATTTGGTGTTAGATCCCTAGGTCAGTCTCAGCCCATGCCAGTGTGAGAATTTGTGCACAGCCAGCCCACTTTCCTCGCTAGCAGACAGCCGAGGCTCAACCAGCTAGCTGATTTTCAAGACTGGCCAGATCGGGAGGGCACCTTCAGGAACTTAGATGACAAGGAGGTCCTGCAGGGGAGAGTGGTGTCCGACTCCACGGCCTTCCCAGCAATATGGCATGGCACACAGTAGTGAAGGGAGAGGAATTACTGGAAATTAGGCCTGGGATTGAAAAGACACTAGAGCAGCTGAAGTGAATGAAAGAATCTGCTGGGGTTGAAGCCGCCGGTCGCATGGAATGCTTTGAGAGGGATGGGGAGACCAGGTGACCCCAGAAGGGGACAGGCAGCAGGGAACCTTGTAAGGCTGGAGAGACTAGGCTTAAGATTTGGTCAAGGATGGCTTAGCGAGATGGTTCAGCAGTTAAGAGCGCTTGCTGTTCTTCCAAGGGAAGCAAGTTCAGTTCCCAGCACCCACTTTGGGTGCTCACAACGGCCTTAATTCCAGCTCCAGTGATCTTCTGAGAGCACCCACACACTCTCAGTACATACTTACACAGACCTAAAATCATAAATAAAAACAAACCTTAAGAAGCCTGGCCAAGGAACTGGTAGTTGTGTTGAGGGAGTAGGGCAGGAAAAGAGGCTGGGGTCCAGGGATGAACTTGAAAGGTTGAAATCCTGGGCTGTGAGATGGTTCAGTGGGTAAAGGTGCCTGATGTCAAGCCTGACCACCCGTGTTCAATTCCTGGGACCCACATGATTGGAAGGACAGAACCAACTCCTGAAAGTCGTCCTCTGCTCTCCACATGTGTGAGGCACATGAGCATGTGCGCGCACACACACACAGAAACACACACAGGAAAATAAACATAAAAAAAAATCTTGGCCAGGCAGTGGTGGTACACACCTTTAATCCCAGCACTCGGGAGGCAGAGCCAGGTGGATCTCTGTGAGTTGGAGGCCAGCCTGGTCTACAGAGTGAGTTCCAAGACAGGCACCAAAACTACACAGAGAAACCCTTTCTCAAACAAACAAACAAATAAACAAACAAAAATCTTCTTTAAACTTGGAAATCCTGGGTTGATGAGACGGCTCAGGAGGTAAAGGTGCTTTCTACCAAGACCGATGACCTGCATTCAGTCCCTGCATCTTCCATATGTGCTGTGGTATGTGTAGGGTAAAAGGACCAAGGAAAGAACACCCAGACCCTGACTTGATCCTAGAGCCAAGAAAAAGAATCTACCAATCCCTGAGTTTGCCCCAAGACCAGGCCACCCTGGACAACTCCACCCCCAAGAAACCCTATATAAACCCTGCATTCTGCTCAGTTCCCTGCGCTTCTTGCCTGAGCAGAGGCAGCCACCCTCTTGGGTTCTTCCCTTCCAATCAATCTCTTGTGTGAGGTTTGTTGTACAGCGTGACTTTGTGGTATTCCTTGGCTCCTGACTGCCAGGATACCTTGCCCCTCAGAGCTGTAACACAATGCGATTCTGCTCAAAAAAACAAAGTCAAAGAGATAAAGAGAAGGCCATTACAAAGATGGCCAAAAATCACGGTGTGAGAGGTGGAGACTGTGGTGATTCTGGAAATCAAAGAAAAACATTCTATTGACATTCGCAAAGCACAAAATGTTCAATAATGATTTTCTCACATAAACTTCCCTTTGGGCCTGGATTAACAGCAACAAGCCCCACATGATTTGCTCTGAAAAACAAAAGGCTCTTTATGTTCTTCAGAACTTCGCTTCACAAACACAGCCTGGCCAGAGGTTTCTCTATGAGCTGGAGATCAGAGGGCCTGACTTGGAAAGGACCCGTCTCATCAAGGATGTGACCACTCCTGCTGGAACAGACCAAGTGCCAAAGGACGTGGCCTTTTACTCGAGACAGCTTCTGGGAACAGTTTCTTCTGAACATGAGCAATCCTTGAGTAGGAGTTTGATAATGCAGATACAAAAGAATCATGTTGCACTATACATAACAGCCTAGTTTAAGTCAGTTAAAGTCTTTTTTGTTTGTGTTGAGACAGGGTCTCAAGTAGCTGAGGCTGACCTCGAACTAGCTAAGTAGCTAAAGATGACCCTAAATTCCAGAGTCTCCTTCCTCCAGCTCCAAGGGCAAGGGTTATAGGCATTTTTTTTTTTAAACCACATCTAACTCCCAGTTGGCTCTATTAATTTACCTTGTTATGAGTATATAACAATGTATATGAAGAAAACACTGCAGAAGATTTCTAAAACAAGGAAATGGGCATATAAAACTGGGTAAACATGTATGCTGCCTTGGTCTACATAGTGAGTTCTGGGCTATAGAATTGAGACCCCGTCTCAAAAAGAAAAGGAACCTTGAATTCTAGGGCCAGGTCACTAAAGAGGAGGGCAATTCAAGAATGACTTCTTTCGGTCCAAATTCCACTTCTACAGATTTGAAGCAACAAGGGCCACAAAGAACTCACTTTTTCGGAGACTGGCCATATCCGCCACCAAAAGAAGCTGTTTCAGGGGGGGTAGATGCTCTGTCCCATTCCCCCAGCCCAGGACTCCACTCTGCCCCAGAAAAGCCAAATGGCCAGAACTGCCAGGGATTCCGCTGGCACCTAGTGGACACGGACATTCTATTTTTATGTAGTCACAGACAGGCCAAGAGGCCTTCTTTAGTAATGGACCGACTATGCAGATGGGAGCTGAACTTGACCCCTAATAATGTTCTGCTCAGGTGGGAGTGATGAGGTTGTCCCACCTGACCTAGAGTTTATCTCCCTAACAAATTTGAGATTCAAGTTGCTCACAATGACTTCTGAGGCATTTGCTTCTTGGATTAGATTTTAAATAGTACCCAAGAGATGAGTGGCACTCAGTTCCGTTTAGTCGAGAAGATCTTTTCTTGCCAGAGTTACCACAAGTCTTTCAGACGTCACTATTAACATAAATGCTCAGTTATCTGCGTGTGCGCATGTGCAGGCCAGAGGGCAACCGACAGCGCAGCTCCTCAGAAGCCACCTTGATTTTTCCGACAAGCTCTTTTGGCCTAGCTCACCCGAGTAGAGAGTCGGGGTGCGCAGTCCGTCTGTCTTGGATCCCCCCGTGCTGGCATCCTAAGCACGTGTCCCTAACCTTAGCTTTTCCATGTGAGTGCAGGGATCAAATGCAGGTCCCCGTGCTTGGATAGCACTTTACCAACCCAGCCCTCTCCCCGGCCCCTTTCAATGGCAATTTTAATAATTCAATCTAAGCAAGCCTGGAGGTTCACACCTGCAACCTAGTGCTTGGGAGTTCAGGCAGATGGTTGGCAGAAGGTTCCTGGCCAGACAGGGATACATTGCTCAAGACCCTGCTCAATACCCTCCCCCACCACCAAAAAAACACCCCCCATCCCAATCACCCTCACCACCAAAAACCCTTTACACAGGTGTGGTGGCGCATACCTTTAATCCTAGTACTTGGGAGGCAGAGGCAGGCTGATCTGTGAGTTTAAGGCCAGCCTGGTCTACAGAGCGAGCTCCAGGACAGTCAGAGCTGTTAAAAAAATGGGAAAAAATTTTTTTCTTATAACCAGAATAATTTCTTTAAAAATAAGCCACATATAATGTCACGGGTCTGCAGATACTTGGGAGGCTAAAGCAGAGGAGGTAAGTTCAAGGCCTGCCTGGGCTATGGTATGTTCAAGGACAGCCTGGTTAACTCAGTGAGACCTTGTCTCAGAACTAAACATAAAAAACAGGGCTCTGAGCACAGCCTGGAGGTGTGAACAGAGCTCACCACATAGTTCAGGGATCTAGAAAACAAGGTCCTTAGCATCTTCCAGGGCTCTCCATTTACAATCATGTCTAAATTTATTTCTTTACTTTTACATTTCATTTATCACATGTGCATGTGTGTGTGTGTGGGATGACACACTTTCATGGAGGCCAGAAGACAACTTCTGTGTTCAGTTTCTCCTTCTGCCCTGTAGGTCCTAGGGATCAACTCAGGTCGTCAGCCTTGGTAGCACACATCTTTATCCACTCAGCCATCTTGCCAGCTCAAAATCCTGTTCTTTTTTTTTTTACAAAGCGAGTTTTTATTTCTAAAACTTTGCCAAAAAAACTTCAGATTTTTTCTGAATATCATCTTGGAATACCATATCATACCAATACCATGATCCACTTGGAAAGGTGTATAATTACAGTATAAAACAAAGAAGGGCCAATGGGTGAGCCTGGAGGGTTAAGGCAGCAGGAGCAACTGTGGAGGGCTGCCTCGCCCCCAGTTACGTGAAGAGCTGCCCGGCAGAGGAACAGGCACCGAGACTGTGCTAGGACCCCCAGTTTGGGATAAACCTCTAGAAACAACGGGGGTGGGGGTGGTGCACTAGTTATGAAAAGATGCTATTTTTTTTTCATTTAACTCAGAAGTCAGTTTGTCGGGCCAGGGCTGCACGTAGCGCAGCTGGTCGAGCGCTCGCCCTGCATACATGGAGCCCCATGTCCCATCTCCTGCTCTGCACACAGCAGGCGTGGTGGCCGCTCCTGTAATCTCGGCCCTCAGGAAGTAAAGTTCGAGGACCGAAGCTACTAAACAAGACCCCGCCTCAGAAACAAAACCGGACAAAGCTAAAACCCCATTTGCTGCTGCAAACCAAACAATGCTACTAAAATCTTTTTATTTTCAGGAAGGACAGAGGTCATGCCTGAGATGAGCATGGGTGTAGGCTCTCCGCCGCCAGCAGGTGTCGGGTTCAAATTCAGCACGGGGCGGGCGCCTGCGCCTTTCCCTGGAGGCACAGCCATTTGGTGGGCACTTCACAGGAGGACCTCTGCACCGGGTCTTCATCATACGGGATGTGCCAGGAGTCTCCAGTTGTCTGCACCACTGTATCATAGCGGAGAGGGTCCTGGGAATCAGAGAGCCAAATGGGAGAACGACAATGGGCTGGTGACGCCTTTGGAAGAGCACCGTGTGCTATCCAACACTGGACCGCCTTCCTTCCTTCCTTCCTTCCTTCTTTCCTTCCTTCCTTCCTTCCTTCCTTCCTTCCTTCCTTCCTTCCTTCCTTCCTTCCTGTGCCTGTGGTGTATGCACATGTACGTATCGATACAGGCCTGTGCGTGCACAGAAGCCGGAGACTTCTACCACTTTCCACATTATTCCTTTGAGGCTGGGTCTCTGCCTGAACCTAGAGGTACTGGGTTTTTTGTTTGTTTGTTTTGCTAGGTTGGAGGCTAGCAGCAATCCTCCTGTCTCTGCTCCATACACTGCTGAGGCTATTGGTATGTGCAGGAACACACTCAGCTTGTAATGTGGGTGCAGGGATCGGAACTCGGCAAGCACTGACCACTGAGCCATCTCTCCAACCCCCACAACAATAAACAAAATAACATAGAAGGGAGCTTCATTTTAAGGCTAAGGGCTCTCTATAGGAGTGTCATATTTGTAAGTTATAGGGTTGTTTCATTGTGTTTATTGGTTTTTTTTTTTTTTTTTTTTTTTTTTTTTTTTTTTTTTTTTTGGTTTTTCGAGACAGGGTTTCTCTGTGTAGCTTTGCGCCTTTCCTGGAACTCGCTTTGGAGACCAGGCTGGCCTCGAACTCACAGAGATCCGCCTGGCTCTGCCTCCCGAGTGCTGGGATTAAAGGCGTGCGCCACCACCGCCCGGCGTGTTTATTGGTTTTTTATGAGTGGAAAAGAGAAAAATTAAATGTAGAAAGTAGAAAAACAGCTCTCTCTCAAGATTATCTTGAAGTGAATCTCAGATGTGTACTTCTAGAAAACGTTATTTATTTTGTAATTCTAAGATCAATGCCATCACTAGCCTCTCCCCAGCACAGACATCAGACAGAAATGGTAGCAAAGTACCCAGTAATCCCAGCACAGGAGACGGAGACAGGAGAGTTTGGAGGCCAGCCTGGGCTACTTAGAGAGTTTCAGGCCTGATGGGGATACATGGGAAAAGCTTAGCTGATTAAAAAATATATATGCATGCATATATTAAAATACATATATGCCCGCATGTATACATACGTGTCAGCCTAATCAACAATTCCCCAGCCTCATCAAATTTCTACTGTTTGTATTTTCCCCATTATTACACATTATATACTGTATTTTCTAGTCTCTTTGTTAAGTGGGCAGTAACAGGGCTGTTGCCTTCTGAGAGCCTGGGCCGCTCAGTGTACCCTTCAGTCAGAGCTTACCTTCCCATCCCCATTTTCACTGAACTTCTATTTCTCCCTTTTTGTTGATTTTTCTGAGGAAAGCAGGTCAACTGCTTTGAATCATTTCCCATAATACAGTCCTGATTTAATAATTGATGTGATGTCATGGGATACTCTATAAATTTGTTTTGCATTTAGCTTATTTTTTAAATTAATAAACTTATCTACAGTACCATGTGCAACATGTTTTGAAATACACAGATGTTGTGGAATGGCTACTCAAGCTATTTAATATGAGTTACCAACTTTTTATTTCACAATAAGAAAACTTAGAACCTACTCTCTTAGCAGTCTTCGGGAATGTAGCACACGGGTTGGGAGAAGGCTCAGTGCATTGCTCTAGCAGAGGACCAGAGTTCGTTCCCAGGCCCCACACTGGGTGGCTCATAACTGCCTGGAGCTCCAGCTCCAGAGATCCAGGATCCTCTTGCCTCCTTAGGCATCAGCATGGATGATCACACCCCCCCCACACACACAGATGCATAATTAAAATGAAAAAAGACTACAATACATTAGCTGGGTCTGTAAGTAACCTAGGAGGATTGTAAAGTCAAGATCTACCTGCGTTCAGTGGGCTCAAAGCTAGCCTGTCCCAAAATAAGTAAAAACTGGGCTGGGGATGTAGTTCAGTGGTAGAGGACTTGCCTAATATATGCACGCTTTGCATTCAGTCTCTAATACCAAACACACACACACACACACACACACACACACACACACACACTATTAAAAACACAAATGTAATTTAAATTAAAAACTAGGAAAAGGTGTTTAAAGGTAAAAGTATGACAGGATAAGAAGTTTCAAGCTAGTTCAAGTAAACAGGAAGATGGAAACACACGGGTGTCTAAGTATAGGTGAAGGCGCGGTTTCAGATGTTTTAATTTGTCGATCAATTTGGGGTCGGCCTGTGACAGATGCTCTTTCTAGGAACCGGCTAACTACCAAACACCAAAGTAAAACAAAAGCGAAGTATTGAGAACTTTCAACATTTTGAAAACCGTGCCACACTCTTTCCTTAGACAAGACCGTCAGCATCACTTAGACAGAGCCCACACCTGGAGAGACAAGACCGTCAGCATCACTTAGACAGAGCCCACACCTGGAGAGACAAGACCGTCAGCATCACTTAGACAGAGCCCACACCTGGAGAGTCAGTTGTGACCTTCTGAATCCTTTCACGATTGCTAGCTGGTGCCCCTGCTGCCACTTGAAGAAGAGGTGCTGAGAGCGAGCATCGGGCAGGCAGGCCTTGTGGTCCCGCATCAGGTCTTTGGTGATAAACTTGCAGTGACTGCCTGAGTTCAGGGTGGCGTACAGCAGGAACGGATCGTCCTCCGAGCTGCAGCAGACAGAGGGAAGGACAGTCAGCCACTCCGGGGGGCAGAGGGCTTTACAGCCCCCAGTTGCTTCTCTTCGGACTTTCCCTGGGGGTGCCTCCGATTTCTGGAGAGCGATCTGAGTGACCCTCATCAGGCACCCAGAGTCCTTAGTTGGTGACACCACCTAAAACACCGGAAAGCCAGGGGAGGGGCTGCTAATGCTCGAGACTTAGAAACTTTCAGGCCAGCTTCGGCTACAGGGTTGTGACCTTCTCCAAAAAACAAAAACAAAAACAAAAAAACCACCGAGGTTTTATGTGGAAGAAGATGAGTAATGTCAGAGCAGGGTCACATTTACATGGGGGTTATCAGGACTCACTACACTATGCTCTGTTTTATGTTTGAAAAGGTTTGTTTGGTACATTAATGAAGACCACAAGTTAACATTAAAAGTATAAGTATTTATATCCAGAGACATAGGAATCTAATGAATCAATCTTTATAACAGAGCTTAGACTTGCAGCAGACACATTAACTGCAGGCCGAGGTATAGGCCCCAAAGTAGGCACCAAGACCATTCCCAAGAGACTTCTGGGTTAGAGCACATGATTTACCCAGTTTCTTTCTATAAGAAAAATAACAATGATGATCGTAATGAACATACAGGCTTTCCATGAACTTGGTGCCGGATTTCCCGTGTTATGACTATTATCTCATTCACCCTCCACAACAACCTCATGAAGATTACATATGAAGTAATACCTTCCCAGGTGGGAGAGGCAGATCTGCGATCTGAAACAAGCCTACACTCCTGATGTTTACCCACACTGCCAGAGGGACATCAAGAAGATCAAGTCTTTTGTTCCTGAAGCAACGGAAATCCTTCTCTCGGCTTGAAAAAGTGGTTTGGTCTGGGATTTGAGAGAGAATTGGCCTCTCGCTTCATTCATCAAGAGCCATTTGACCCTTTCAAGAAGAAACTCTTCGTGGAAGCCTGACGAACGTTCGGGTTCTCACTTCTGAACTAGTGAGTCCTAGACTCAGGCCCGAGGCACACACTGCAGTGACAGCCAGGCAAGGCTGCAAATCAATGAGCACCGGCCGGCATAGGTAGGAAGACCTTGAGGACCCTGAGGGTGTGTATGTACGGTCCAGGATCTCCCACCTTCCTGCATAGCTGCTTTCTGTTTATGAACCACACACTATGGGACTAATCCTGTTCTCCACGTTCCTTGGGCTTCCTGGGAAGCTGTAGCTCCACGGCAGTTTTCTCTCTATTAGAGTAAATCCAGACCCTTTGTGAGGTCCTCTATAGTACGGTCTTTCCACAGCTCTGACTTCCCTTCCCCCTTGCTAGACAGGGTCTCATGTACCCCAGAATGGCCTCTGTACAGCAGAGGATGGCCTTGAACTCCTGATCTTCCTGCTTCCACCCCACAGGGCTGACATCACAGGTGGTACCACCGCAATTGGTTCCACGTGGGGCTGAGGATAGAACTCAGGCAAGTTTTCTACCAACTGAACTGCATCCCAGCCCCCAAAGATCCCTTCCTGGTCACTGTTCTAACCATCCACACTGGCCTTCTTACTTTACCAGTGTCCAGTTTACTCCTATGCCAGGACGTTGGATCTCTGCTACCCCCTGTATGAGGGATGAGCACTGTGAATCCATCCCACCTCTCCACTTCCCACAGCACTGATCACTGGTTACCGTGAGGCTGTCTGGTGGCTTGTTTCTGTAAGGACTAAAAGGGCAGGGGCTTAGTTGTCGTCACTAAGAACAAGCACTGTGTTCATACTTGTTGAGTGTCTGCTCGATGGTCAATTTAGGATTTTATGGCGTGTATTCTAAGTGCTAGCCTCACTCCTGACTCTCCTCCTTTTCTCCTTCAGGCTGATTTCCTCATCTATGTAGAAGTTTGCTCTACTGTAGACACTCTAGCTTTGTAAGCTGCCTCCAATCCATTTTTGTTTTTGTTTTAAATGAGGTTGCATGCACACAGGCAAGCATTCCACGTGACAGAACAGACAACTAATAAGTAGATGACCGGAACCCAGGCTAATTGACCTGTTCCCTCCAGTACTCACATGTTATCAGCAAAGAAACAGTGGGCTTGCCTCTGCACCTGCTCCATCTCGTCCTTTCTCCACCTGGAGCTTGGTGTGAGCATGTGCTTTCGGCCCAGGACCAGCAACTGCAGATTCTGCTGGGCTAGTTGGGAAACTACACCCAGGAGCTAGAAAACACCAAGAGCCAAGCACAAAAGTTCAAATAACTGGACAGATTCTTCTAGCTGTTCCTTCAGGTGAGTCTGAGTTCTGAGCAGGAAGAGAATAGCTCTTAATTTCCCATCTTTCAAAGCCTGAGGAAAATGATAAATTGATGTCTTCTTTGTTGCTGTTTAACAAGAGCTCTCAAGCAGCACAGGCTGGCTTCCAGCTATGAAGTCAAGGATGACCTTGAACATCTGACCCCCTCAAACCTCCACTTACCGAGCTCTGGGATCACAGGCATACACCGCCATGGTCAACTTGTAAATGGATGCCTACCCCCTGCCCAGATCGGGCTGCACTGGCTCCAGGTGTGGGTTTCTAAAGACAGACTAATGAAGCTGAACCCTTTAGAGCTCCTCGAGATAGTGATGGGACTCAGAATCACTGCCCCAATTTTGAAGCAAAAAATACCATATATATATTTTTAACAAATTTGTTTGTTTGGTTTGGCTTTTCAAGACAAGTTTCTCTATGTATCCCTGGCTGTCCTAGAACTTGCTCTGTAGACCAGGCTGGCTTTGAACTCAAAAGACCCGCCTGCTTCTGCCTCCCAAGTGCTGGGATTTAAGGCATGCATCACCACCGCCTAGCATCATTTTCAGTAATTTAAAAAAAAAATTATTTTTTATTTTTGTAATTACACTCATGATATTCATTAATTACACTCATGATATTAATTACATTTGTGGTATTCATTGATTGTAATCGCAGTATTCACTCAATAATTATATTTATGATATTCATTAATTACATTAATTGTATTGATTTATTACATCCATCATATTATGTCCTGATACTACTGTTCATTTGTAGGACTTTTCCATCACACAAAACAGAGATTCTGTACTTAGGAAATCATTGCTCTATATTCCTTTCTTTTCCATCTTGAGATAACATCTAATCTTTCTGTCTCTATGAATTTGTATATTCTATAGTAACACAATTCTATAGTATTTGTCCTTTTTTTGAATGTAAAAACATTTTATGTACAACTGCAGGAGAAATAAATACACAGATAGCTTGAACATAAAAACAGGTTATAATTCAAAAGTCCAGGGTTGTTTTAAATAGTAAAATATTTTCTCTGTAGAAAATAGTAAAAATGATAACATTTTCCCCAATATGCCCTTTTAAGCCAAATGATAGCTGAATTATACATAAATATTGATTAGATTCTGGGATACAGAAGAAACCTATCTTCATCTGTTCAGAGAGCTTTTTCCTTACGTTGTGTAAGTGAGATTCCTATTCATCTTCCCCTTCACTGTTTGATTTACAGCAGACATTTTTCTGTAGGCTAATCCATAATCTAAAAAGATTTTAGCCTCCCCTCATGAAAGTATTGCCAGAATTTTCTTTCATCAGCTTGATACAGTACAAATTCTTATCCTAATAGTGAAATGTTTCACTAAAGCTTGCCCAGTGATTGGGTAAAACCAAAACTTATTGTAAGGTTTCTCTATGTAGCCCTGGCTGTCCTGGAACTTGCTCTGTAGCCCAGGCTGGCCTTGAAGTCAAAGATCCGCCTGCCTCTGCCTCCCAAGTGCTGGGATTAAAGGCGTGAGTCACCACTGCCCGGCATTATTTTCAGTAATTTTTAAAAGTTTTTGAGACAGTGTTTCACTGTGTAGCTTTGGAGCCTGTCCTGGATCTCACTCTGTAGACCAGGCTGGTCTCAAACTCACAGAGATCCACCTGGCTCTGCCTCCCGAGTGCTGGGATTAAAGGCGTGCGCCACCACCGCCAGGCCAAGAATTCTTATTATTGTTACTGGTGGAGATTTGCCATAGTACACATGTGGAGGTCAGAGTACAACTTTGTGGGGTTGGTCCACTCCTTCTACTATTATGTGGGTCCTGGGGATTGAACTTGAGTCACTGAGGTGGTGTTTAGCTGAGTGTGGTAACACCTGCCTGTGATCCCAATACTCTGGAGTCTGAGGGAGGAGGATCACTAGTTTGAGGTTAACCTGAGCTACACAGCAAGATCCTGTCTAAAACAAAACTCCCAAACATAACAAAATGAGAAAGGATGGATGAGGTGCTGTTCCTACAGAGCACCAACGCTGTCTGCATGAAGCAGCTCCACACTGTCTGTACTGTGTATTTGTGTATCTGATGTTTACCCTGGGTTTTCGTTCCCTCTACTCTATTACTAATGTGATTTTAAAGTAGCCGGCTTTATTGCCCCCAACTACCAGTTCTAGGATGAAAACAAACGGATACTTGTCCACTGAGTGAGTTAATACACAAGCAAAGAAGATGCCCAGATCCTACATAATGGTGGAAGGCGAGGACCAACCCTGCAAAGTTGTCTTCTGACCTCCACACGTGAGCTGTGGCAAATCCCCCACCAGCAATAACAATAACTACAGTTCTTTTTTTTTTGGTTTTTCGAGACAGGGTTTCTCTGTGTAGCTTTGCGCCTTTCCTGGAACTCACTTGGTAGCCCAGGCTGGCCTCGAACTCACAGAGATCCGCCTGGCTCTGCCTCCCGAGTGCTGGGATTAAAGGCGTGCGCCACCACCGCCCGGCTATAGTTCTTTAAATTGTTTTAAAATATAATTTGTGCTTCAAAATTAGGGTAGTGACTTCTGTGTTTACTCAATAGTTAATTTTCTCTCTATGGAAAACATGGGCATTATCATAGTGTACAAAAATTTAAAGACATACTGTTTCTAGTGAGACATTAACTATATTTTCCTTACTTGCCTATTAAGCCTAGGAAAAGATAAGTTCTGACTGTACACATATTTGATGGTTAATAAACACGTTTGATTAGTTGAGGAATATGCCCAACATTGGGAGCCAAGCATGTCAGTCCATGCCTGTAACCCCAGTACTTAGCAAACTGAGGCAGTTCAAGTCCAGACTGGACTATGTCAGTCTCAGGCCAGCTTGGGTTATAACAAAAGACCCCATATCACAAAACTAACAGCAACAATAATGATGATCGTAAACAAAAAAGTATGATTCATGACTTTGAATATCTTTAAAGACATTAAAAGTGCCTTTCTTTTAGAATGTACTCATTCCTGGTGTATGTGTGTGTGTGTGTGTGTGTGTGTGTGTGTGTGTGTGTGTGAGTGTGTGTGTGTATGTGACAGTACAAAGCTCAGAGGACAACTTGCAAGAGGTGATTCTCTTTTTCCACCATGTGTGTGCCAGGGATTGAACTCAGGTTATTAGGTGTAGGTGGCATCTCTGGGGTCCTCCATTTCTTTAAAACCACTGAAATTACAGATTATTTTCTATGAACACAGATTCAAAGTGGAAACTGGACCCACTAACAGGGATGACAATTACTTAAAAAATTTGCAAAAAAAATCACCATAAAGTTATTATAAAAATAAATAAAAAATGTTAAAGCACATGTTAAAGCCAAGAATGGTGCTTCACACTTATAATCCTCAGTATTTCAGACCCTGAGGCAGGAGGTTCTTCAATTCCAGGCCAGCCAGCCCCAGCAACTCAGGAAGAGCCTGTCTCAAGTACGACACAGGGCACGTTGGCTTGGTGGTGGAGCGCCTGTCGGTCAACACGAGCTCCATGGGTCAGTCCTCAGCACCACAATCCAACAACACAACCCCACACCGCTGACTCTGGTTTTCAACTTTCCGTGTAGCTAGGAAGACATGGTCTAAAGAAAAACACAACTGAGTTTCAGATGTTCTCTTACTCAGATAAACACCCCCAGTTCACTAAGGAAGAAATTAATAAGGAAAAAGAGAAACCCATAGGTTCAACTACTCTGGGACACCACCTTGTGCTGGAGAGGTCGCTAACAATTTTTTGAAAGTAATGAAAATAAGAGAATAAAGACTGTTTTTTGGCTTTGTTTTTTAAAAGATGACTGGGTAGCAAAGGTAACTGACAATGTAGATGGTCTGGCTATGAAAAGCCTCTGGAGTAAATTGCAAGCTGGACCTAGTGTGCTGGCTCAAAGTCATGGGCATACTCAGAATAGCCAAAAAAAAAAAAAAAAAAAAAAAATGAAATTTAACTTAATTGTATGCTCCATCAAAAATAAAACTAAGTCCAGTGTGATGGTGCAGGCCTGCACTCAAGAAACGGAGGCACGAGTATGGTAGTTCCAGGCCAGCCTGAGCTACACAGACAGACCTTGTCTCAAAAATCAAAACAATCAGATCAACCTGGGACTGGATTTGGAGCTGTGTATCATCATTAATTACTATACATGTCTGAATACAGCACTGTCTCCAGGCCGTATTAGAATAGCTAGCGAGGGGACGGGGGTGGGGGGGGTGGGGTGGAGGGGGTGGGGGTGGGGCAAGGTGACAAAGACCCGGAACAACTGGGAGGAGGGACACAGCCACACCCAAGTGACACAGAGGCACAAGTGGGGCTATTTGGGGAGGAAGGGGAGGAGCGGGAAGTGGAAAAAGGAGGTGATGTGGGGGACGGATATGAGCAAAGTGTACAAAAATGTCCTAAAGAAACCCGTTATTTTGTATGCTTACTAAAATAAATTAATAATAATAATAATAATAATACTATAATAAGAGGAGGAGGAGGAGGAGCAGGAGGGGCTGGAGGGTTATATGGCAAGGCAGCCAGGAACACTTGCTGCTTTACTGAGGACCTGAGCTGGGTTTCCGCCTCCATGTCAGGTGGTTCCCAACAACCTGCTACTCCAGATCTAGGGAATCCCATCTGCTCGCTCTCTCTCTCTCTCTCTCTCTCTCTCTCTCCTCTCTCTCTCTCTCTCTCACACACACACACACACACACACACACACACACACACACACACACACATTTTAAAAAGACAAGGCCTCATGTAGCTCAGGTCAGCCTCAAACTTGCTCTGTAGCCGATGCACACTGTAAGCAGAATGAACACTAAGAAGGCTACACCAGCTGGGTGTGGTGGCTCACCCTGGGGGGCAGAGGCAAGTGGAGCTCTGTGAGTTCCAGGCTGGCCACAGCTACACAGGGAGACCCT